ATTTTATCAATGAAAGCTTAAAACACCTGTACCTTAGGTGCCTTTATTCCTTGTAGCTAGGAGGTACCAAGGGTTGAAGTTGTATGCACAGTCTCTTGATGAATCCTTTGGAAGTTTGGAGGACCAGTTGGCACAACATGGCTTATTCCCGGAAGAGCTGGATTCATTTTGAAATACGTGAGAGTCATGGCCAATGCGACCCAGCCCTTGATAAAGCGATCCGTTCAGATAGGTGAGGCTCACCGCCTAGATATGTTCGCTGTTTACATCAACGTCCCGAGTGATGCGAAGCTATTAAGTCTTGACTGTTTCTAATCGTGATCTATGACTGTTAAAAGAAAGTATGACGAGGTATTGACGATGACGGAAAAGAATATAGTATCCGTGTGGCTTGTGACTAGGGCACTGGGAACAGTGACCAAGGTTTTGTCGAGCCTAAAAGAACATAGTAGTGCTTTCGACATCGTGAAATGCTGTCTTGTCGTAAACTCATTTCCAAATACTATTTCATTCCAGATATGGTGTAGGTGGAACACCATAAGCTTTAAAATGAATGGTAGCTGATGAACTCAGGTGCAATGCATTTTGTCTGCTGGTTGAAGTTTTAGCAAATCATGGACCCCACTCCTGCCAAGAAAAGTAAGTGTACTTTCGGCGTGTTCATGTAGCTACTATAGCTTGAATGAAAGACACAAAACTGTCTAAAATCACTAGCAATGTTGCTGCTTAATGCTGAACGCAGAGCTTGAAATGCAGAAGCAGTATCAGGAAAATGAGGAAGTTCCAATCGCTCATTGTGATCTTAATATTGTACCCCTTAACACGGAGTAAGCGACGGTATTCCCGGAGATTTTTTTTGGTGCGCTTGATTACAATGGTAAGCTGTACAGCACTACTTAAGATATACCCACCGAGTGGAGCGGTGAATCGCCACAGGTGTAAAGAGAATATTATTTCTCAAGTGATTGGAGTGACCGAGGTAGTCCTACGTGCTATATGTCTCTTCTCACATATGCTCTCATTAAACAAGAGGTAATGTTTCTAGGGTATGCATGCAAAACGTTGCACGATCGTAAAGCCATTCAAGTGGTTTGGTTGGCAACAGAGTACATATTGATTCAGCATCCATTGTAGATTAGTCGATTATTAAGGCGCTCGTTCGCTACCCCACTGAGTTAGAAGGATAGGGGTACGAACCTCTAGGTCCAATGGGTCGTTTCTATTCTTCTTTGAGAAAATATTGTAAATTGGTGACGACGGATTTACAACACATGTAGCTCCACGAAGGGGTAAGTATGCCAAGGGATTTACATGATTTACGGATTCAAATATTGTGTCCCATCACAATGGTCTTTACCAAAGATACATTGCAACTTCATAGACGCTCAAATATGTGAGAACGCGGTTGATGCTCGGTAAGAGAGGGTGTATATCTTCATTTTGCGCCAATTTCATTTTGTCAGAAAAAGCAACGGCAAGTAGTGTATTATACTTAGAAAATCAAAATCAAGCTACTATTCTAGCGCATATGTCGCTCCTTGAATAATTGTGCTTTTAAGCAGCATGGTCGGCTGCACTTCGTTCAGTGCTTCTAATCAGGCTAAAGGAAATGGTCAACTCGTGATAAAATCAGCGGCATTTCTCTCGCTGTGATGAGCAAGCTGAGTAGAAGAAATGATTTGAAAGTGGCTGCCTAGCGCACCAGCGACGTTTCGCTGCTTGATGATGACGCGCTTCGAGTCACTTCGTGGCTATGAGCACAAGGGTCAATGGTTAAGAACCACATCAAATTCTTGGGAGCAGTGATCAAGTGCTTGCACTTGAATAGGCCTTTCTTTAACAAAGCCAAGCGTGTCTTTGGTGCTGATTATATTTCTCTATATGGATTTAATCAGGAAGCATGTTTTGTAGACAA